ATATATGCACATATGAAAAAGCAAATAATCAATCAAAGTTGTACAGAGTGAAACTGCAGCAAAATTTTTTTTTTTATATACCAGTATATTATATTTATTATTCTATAAGCAAACTCAAAATAAATTACATTCTGTCATCTGTATGAATGATTTCTTGTTTAAATTCTTTCAAATGTTCAACCACAAAGATTAACCCTCAGAACGTCAGTCACAAAGTCACCATTCACAAAATAGTTCTATATACTATATCTGCATACTAATTAGGCAATTTGCATATCATTAACCCTTCGAGTGCCAAAGTCAACTTTTGTCACCATTCACAAAATAGTTTATATACCGTATGTGCATAATAATTAGGTAATTTGCATATCATTAACCTTTTGAGCACCAAAGTCAACTTTTTTTACTATTTACAAAATATTTCCATATACCGTATGTGCATTTTAATTAGGTAAATTGCATATCATTAACCCTTTGAGCACCAAAGTCAACTTTTGTTACCATTCACAAAATAGTTCTATATACCATATGTGCATATTAATTAGGTAATTTACATATCATTAACCTTTTGAGCACCAAAGTCAACTTTTTTTACTATTCACAAATATTTCCATATACCGTATGTGCATATTGATTAGGTAAATTGCATATCATTAACCCTTTGAACATCAAAGATAACTTTTGTCACCATTCACAAAATAGTTCTACCGTATGTGCATATTAATTAGGTAATTTGCATATCATTAACCCTTTGAACATCAAAGATAACTTTTGTCACCATTCAAAAAATAGTTCTACTGTATGTGCATATTAATTAGGTAATTTGCATATCATTAACCCTTTGAACATCAAAGATAACTTTTGTCACCATTCATAAAAATAGTTCTACCGTATGTGGATATTAATTAGGTAATTTGCATATCATTAACCTTTTGAGCACTAAAGTCAACTTTTTTCACTATTCACAAAATAGTTCTTATATATCGTATGTGCATATTAATTAGGTAATTTACATATCATTAACCTTTTGAGTGCCAAAGTCAACTTTTGTCACTA